AGAAGAAGAAGAAGAAGAAGAAGAAGAAGAAGAAGAAGAAGAAGAAGAAGAAGAGAAAGAGAAAGAAGGAGAGAGAGAGAGAGAGACTCACTGGTCTAGAAGTAGGGTAGGATGGCTGTCCTGAGAATCTTAGGAAATCTGCTTGTCTCTGCCTCTCCTGGGCAGGAATTACAAACCAGAGCCTGACTTTTTCATGGGTTCTGAGGAGTGAGTTCAGGTAGTCACACTTATAAGGCGAATGAGTCATTTCTCCAGATTGAATTTTACATGTTTTTTTTTTAAATATATTTATTTTATGTATATGAATTCTCTATCTGCATGAACACCTGCATGCCAGTAGAGGGCACCAGATCTTATTATAGATGGTTGTGATCAACCATGTGGTTGCTAGGGATTGAACTCAGGACCTCTGGAAGAGCAGACAGTGCTCTTAACCGTTGAGGGCAACTCTCCAGCCCCTATGTTTTTTATTTCATTAGTGGATATTCATTTGTATAAAATGATGGGTTTCCTTGTGACATTCTTATGCAGATATATCATGTATTTTTATCTTATTCACTCCATCTTTACCCTCTCTTGCTCCCACTCTTTCCATTGGTCCCCTTCCTCTTCTTGAATAGTCCTCTCTCTGCTTTCAGATATCCTCTCCTCCAGGCCTAGATTCTGTATATGAGAGAAAAATGTAATATTTGACTTTCTAGGCCTCATCTGACTGATTTTGTTTAGCATGGTTATCAGTTTCATCCATTTTCCTGAAAATAACCTAATTTTGTTCTTCTTAATGGCTGAGTAGTACTCTTCTATGTATGTGTGTGTGTGCACATATGTATATATATATTCCATTTTTCTTCATCAGCTAATGGATCCCTTGGTTAATTTCATAACTTGGCTATTGTTAATAGTATCACAACAAGCAAGAATGTGCACTATTTCTATTATAAGCTGATTTGGAGTGGTTGGCCTGTATTCATAAGGTAGCTCTATTTTCAGTTTTTGAGGAACTCCCACACAAATCCCTTAGAGGCCACACTAATTTTCTTCTATTTAATTGTGGCAAAGATGGTTCTCACCTGTGTAACGTACATTGTATTTTTAAATTGCCATGTGTTGTTTGAGCTCACCGAGGAGCTGGCTCTGAAAGTAGGCTTTCCCACTTCCTGAAGCACCGACTCAAGCATGTTTACACTGAATCTTCCAAATCTTTTGTTCTGAGTCACGCTTCCCGTTGGTTCTGGAAGGGGAAAGGGGAAAACCCAGCTAGCTGCTAAAGGGAGTATGCACGTGTGCCCTGGAGAACAGCTAGAAGGGAAACTATTTCTTGTAGAGCTTAGTATTGTTGATTGAAAAGCTTATACTATGGCCAGGCAGTGGTGATGCACACCTTTAATTGTAGCACTTGGAAGGCAGAGGCAGGCAGATCTGTGAGTTCGAGGCCAGCCTGGTCTATATAGGGTGAGTTACAGGACAGCCATGGATATTCAGAGAAACCCTGTCTCAGAAAAAAAAAAAAAAACAAAACAACAAAAACAGAAAACAAACACACCCCGAAACAAACAAACAAACAAACAAACAAACAAACAAACAAACACCAAACCAAACATTTGATACTGGGGAAGAGGAGCTGGATGTTTGTCTATGAAGAGCATGGTCTGCTCTGCCTGGACCTCTCCTGGAATAGCTGTTTCAACAGGGCTTCCCTGGTTGACATCTGCCAGCTGATTTGAAGTGCACAATGTGATGATGTTACCTTTCTGCTCTTGTTTGTTTTTTGACTTGGAAGCATCACCCTGGATACATTCTGCTCTGCTCAGGACCTTCTCTATCAGTAACACCAGCTGGCTTTTCTCCAGTTGATTTCTGCAGGATGTTTGTAGGGCCCGGATTTGATGATGTTACCTTTCTGCTGTTGTTTGTTCTTTGACTTGGAAGCATCACCCTGGACACCCTGGACATTTGGAAGCATCACCCTGCTCCACGAAGGGCCGTTTCAGTCAGAAACACCAGCTGGCTTTTCTCTAGTTGATTTCTGCAGGATGTTTATAGAGCCTGGATTTGAGGTTGTTACCTCTCTCAGTTGAGTTACTCCAGGTGTCTCTGCTGGATGTTTTTGAGTGCTGGATTTGATGTTTTGCTATCTGTCTGATACGTCTCAGCTGTCTGCTAATTGCCATTGCTTGTTGCTTTGTTTTTTGATTTGCTTTTTTGTTATATATTTAATAAACTCAGTCAGTCATTCACAAGTGAAAGCATGGCTATTATATTTCATCCTCTGACCATATATAGAAGAACTGGGTTTTGCCTCAGCTGGTTGGATCCCTAGGTGAAGTAAAGAGAACATCTTTGGCAGGGGGATTGGAGATTTCTCTCATCAGATGTTGGCAATTTATGTGGAGGTTATCAGCCTGATGAAGCAGGGTTGGCCTGCCTTTTCTGCCTTTCACTCCCTGTCTGCTAAGTGGTGTGATATGGGACCAGAACTGGGGTTAGCAGCTTGCTCCAAAATCTTCCATATTTTCGGTTTTCCAATTTCTTGTTTGGCAACATTGGAGGCTAAGGGTGGAGGTATGAAGTGGAGTTGAGACCAGCTACATCTAGTAAGGAGTGGTGAAAGATGAGGTAGACAGAATAAAAAACAGGGAGTTGGAAGGAAATGTAACTGCGTTCACAGTCTCTGAGAGTGTGATTGGTTCAGAAGAGGAGTCTCTTAGTATACATTAGGGGCAAGTAGGTGCAGAGAGCTAGAAAAGACTCTGGCAAATGCATTTGTCTTATTGGCCTTCCTTGGGGGAACCTAAAATGTTTTTAGGCAGTAATGAAACTATTTGTTATTGCAACCCTATAAGTCTGGCTGGTACAATTATTCATTGCATGTGGGAATCAGGATGGATGGTGCAGTAAGGAATGTGCTGAACAAAATACCTGATAAACTTGTTTGAGACAGTGTCTTATGTAGCCCAGGCTGGTCTTGAACTCATGATCCTTTTGCCTCTGCTTCCCAAGTACTGGGATTTCTGGTTTATATTACTGTGGACATCTGATGAAAAGCCAACTTATACAGAAAGCTGAATGGAGTGGCATATATTGTAATCCCATCACTAGGAAGGTAGAGGCAGGGTAATCAGGAATTCAAGGTCGTCCTCAGCTACAGTGAAGTCAAGGCTGGCTGGGGCTACATGTGTTCCTGCTTAAATAAAATAAGAAAGAGATAGGAAAAGGCTTATTTGGCTCAGTTTCGGAGGTTTCAGTGCACAAGCAGCTCAGCCTGTTGCTCTGTACTGCTGGCAGCATGCTATATCATGGTGTTAGTATGTGGCAGAATAGGATGCTGTCCTTCTGACATCTAAGAAGTGAAGAGAGGAGGGGCTTAGGTCCCAATATCTTTTTCATGGGCACCCCTAGTAGTCTAATTTTCCTCCACTAGGCCTCACCTTTTAAAGGTTCCATGACACCCCTAGCCAAGGTTTTGGAATAGAGATTTTTTGGAGGAACAGTTAAAAATCCAAACTATAATAGAACTGAAATCCAGCCTTCAATATATCTCCTGAGATATGAACACTGGTGCAGAGGTTTCAGTCTGGAGCAGGAGTGCTATTATTCATCTATTTGACCTTTTTTTTTTTCTAAGACTAGGTTTCTCTGTGTAGTCTTGGCTGTCCTAGACTCACTTTGTAGACCAGGCTGGCATATAACTCACAGAGATCCATCTGCCTCTGCCTCCCTGAGGGCTGGAATTATAGGCATGTGCCGCTGTGCCTGGATCATCGATTTGCTCTTAGTTGAAACTTTCCCCTTGGAAGGAGGAGGGTCATAAGAATCATGAAGTGGGCTAGGGAGATGGACCAGTCAGTAAGAGGACCTGAGTTCAATCCCTACAACCCACATAAAAATGTTAGGTGTGTACTTAAAATATCAGCACTGGAGAGGCAGTGACATACAGATCCCAGGGGCTCACTGGCAAGTCAGCTTGGCCTACTTGGTGATTTCCAGATCAATGAGAAAACATATCTCACCAAAAAAAAAAAAAAAAAAAAAAAAAAAAGACAAGGTCAGCAATATAGTACAGGATAAGCATACTACCAGGCATAGACTCAGAGAAGATAAGTGACATAGAGGATCCAAGGGAGGATGAATAAATCTCACTTGGAGGGGAGACAGAATAGACAGAGAGGGAACAGGAAGGAGAGGGAATGCAGAGAGGTAAGAGGGTGGAGATCAGACCTGGGGAGAGCAAGGGCAAGAGGACAGAGGACTACAGAGAAAAGATAAACTGAGTGTAGGAGAAGCTCTGTGACAAGCTGGAGACCTATGACAGGGTGGGCTTCTGGGAGGATATGAGGGGGACTCAAGCAGAGACTCCTAGTAGCAGGGGCCATTGAGACTGAAGAAGACATCTTCTAAATAGACAAGACTCCCAGCAGAGGGAGAGGAACACCAACCCACCCACAAAAACTTCCACCAAAAACTTACCCTGCCTACAGATATGCAGGGATAAAGATAGAGCAGATAGAACAGAGATTCAGTTAATATCCAACCAATGCCTGGCCCAATCAAACACCTACCCTATCAGAGACTGCTAACCCCTAACACTATGAATTATGTTCTGCTAAGTCTGCAGACAGGTGCCAACCCCTGACACTATGAATGATGTTCTGCTAAGCCTACAGACAGCGGCCTGACACAGTTGTCCTCTGAGAGGCTCTACCAAGCAGTGCCTTAAAAACAGATGCTAAGACTCACAGCCAAACATTGGGTGATGCATAGGGCATCTTGTAGAGAAGTTGGAGGAAAGAGAAAAGAACCTGGAGGTGACAGGAACTCCACAAGAAGACCAACAGAGCCAACTAACCAGGGCCCAGACCAGCTTGCTGAGACTGAAGCACCAACCAAGGACCATGAACTGGACCTAGGCCCCTCTCTCACTAACATTCTCGCTCTTACCTAGGGTTAACAGGTTGGTGGAAGGGAGGCAGATGCTTAAACACCTCAAATAAAATAGACTTTTAAACTGAGCACAACTAGTACTACTTTAAGTAGCCTCAATAAACTCACTCTAAGCCATTCTTAATGGCTATATAACCTTGAGAAGGAACCTTATTAATTATGTGACTTTCTGGAAAAAGAACCCTCAAAACATAAAATAAAAAAGGGAAGAAAAAAATCAAAGGAAACAGTTCAAGGAGCCCTGATCTAGGATGTAGCCAAATATAATCTTGAGCTGCTAGTTACTGTACTTTCACCTGAGTGCTAGTATTGTGACTAAATTGTGATACCACAAAAGACCACCACCAGGAGTCGAGTCCTTTGCAAAACACATAAGGATCTTTTTATTACAAATTATTACAAGCTGCAGCTTGGGCTCACACCCCCACCGCTAAAGAGGTGTGAGCCGAGAGCCTCATGCTTAGGTTAGTTGGGTGATTTAAAGAGTCTGGTGTGCCCAAAGCAGGAGCATTCCTGCCTGGCAAGCATCTATTGGTCGAAATACAAAAGGGATGTTGCATTTTGAATTGATTGGCTATAGGAAGTTCCCCAGACCATTAATGATCTGGTGACCCTCCCTAGGGGGATGGGCCAGTTTCCTAGCAACTTTATCTCTAGTGGGAAGGAAAAGAATGCAGTAAGGCCAGTTCTTCCCCTCAGGGAATTACTGGACAAGTCTCCACCTTGCTAGCCTTCCTTCAGGCTTTTAAGTTTAAAATAATAGCCACTGATTTTTAATCTTTTGGTCTCTCACTAGGATCACAGTGTGCATATCATGCCCAGTTTATGTGGTACTTGATATCAAACCCCAGGCTTTATGCATGCTAGGCAAGTACTCTACCAAGTGACTTATAGCCCCAGTCCTAACAGTTCCATTTTATATCTATCAATGCTGAAAATACCCCCCTGCATGAGTATTTAGTACAAGATGGTAAAAATATACTTAGGTCCACTTTTAGGATTTCTTAGAAATTCTGCTGTAATGCTAACCACAAATCCATTGAATGGTAGTTTAGCAACTCAAATAGCAATTTTAAAATCAAGCATTGTAAAACAATACAACTCAAAGATGTGCTCATTTGATACTTACATGTTGAGGGTGTATTGTAGGAAAATAATAAAAGTCATTGTTTTTCATAGTTGAACATATTTTCACAAGAGCAGAAAACTTTGCACATACAGAAAAAAACACTGTAATTCATGATATTCAGTAGTCTCATATCTAAGCCAAGGTATTTGAGGCAGCATTTGTTGTCACTTCATGGTTTGATGGCATACACAGTTCAAACAGCACATCCTATGTGTTCCTACTCAAGTCTGCAGTAATTCAGGGCAGCACAGGTGAGAGGGGCCAGAAACACCTTGGATTCATTAATTTTTTGGTTGTTGAGTGTGCAGAAAACACTTACTGTTGCCAAACTTTTCAGAAGCCCCACATTCAGTTAAGTGACCCTAGAAAAAAAATGTGCAACCCACATTTGAAGAATCTGTGCAGAGTGCAATAAGCGTTCAGGAAGTGTATATTCCTGGGGACTTAAGATGGTTAACTTGATGTAATTTAGAATCACGATATATACAGGTCCAGTCCATGGCCTGAAGTCCAGGACTGAAAAAAAAAGAGGGAGAGCAAGAGATGGAGAGAGAAAGAGTACCCACATGACAGCTCACAACTGTCTGTAACTCCAGTTCCAGAGGATCCAACACCCTCACACAGACATACATGTAAGCAAAATACCAATGCACCTAAAATAAAAAACAAATAAGTAATTTAAAAAAAGAGAGAGAGAGAAAAGGGATTTGAGAAAAGCATTCAGTACTCTCTGCTTGTGGACACAGGGTGACTGGCTGCCTCAAACTGCAACCAGCATGACTTCCCCTTCCCTCAAACTTCAAGGCATATTCAAGAATTCTGTTGATGCAGCCAGACAGATAACTGATAAAGGCTTGATCATAGTATTAGACTGTGGATGATAAGCAGAAATC